ATAATAATAAATAAATAAAACAAAAAAAATTTTTAATTAAATTAAAGTTACAAAGTCAACAGTTAGGGACTAAACCAAGATTAGGGCTCAGACTTCTATCTGGCCCTCCATGCCTTATCTTGTAGCAATGCTTATAATAGCAATGTATTGGAAAACAACTTAAATATCCTACATTATAGATTTATTTTACAAATTCCCAAATATCCATGATATCCATGACACTTAAATCATTAAAAGAACATTTGATGGTATGGGAAAATGCACATAACGTAGTGTTTAGGAAAAATGTCAGATATCAACAGTATATACAGTATGGTCCAATTTTTAAAAAAAGTTTTATACATGCATGGAAAAATATTTGAGAAAACATATCTCTGGGTCAAGAGATTACAGATGATTTAAAAATTTTAGGGGCACTTGGGTGGCTTAGTCAGTTTAGCATCCAACTTTGGCTCAGGTCATGATCTCATGGATTGTGAGTTCAAGCCCTGCATCCGGCTCACTGCTGTCAATGCAGAGTCTGCTTCCGATCCTCTGTCCCCCTCTCACGTGCGCGTGCGCGCGCTCTCTCTCTGTCTCTCAAAAATAAACATTAAAAAAAATAAAATGTGCACTTAAAAAAGAAATAAAAATAAAAATTTTCTCCATTTTTTGATAATTTCTAGATTTTCTGTAATAAGTAGGATAGAAAAAGCAATACATTTTATTTAGTCAAAACTTTTATAAAATGGCTGAAATGCCATGGGACTATCTGTGAGCCGGAGCTGGCTGACTAGTGGGTGCCTGTCAGGACAGGAAACACCCATCCCAGAGGGCAGTGTGAGGGGCTCCCAGAATCTAAGAGAATTTGAGGCCACGACCAGGGAAGATAGTCAGGAAAAACGGCTTTTAGTTCCTTGAAGTTGGATAAGTACAAACCAAAAATTAAAATTCTGGTATAGCAATGACAAAATACCTAATTACGTCTAACAATGCATTTGGGGGACCTGCTGTACAACGGGGGGCTATAGCGGAGGTAGCACCCAGAAAGCCGGTGATGGAGGACTCCCACGTACCCTCTGCTCACCCTTTTCTATTTTCAGTCTTTTTCTTCTACCATCTTTTGTTTCCCCTCCCACTCAGGTTTCTTGTCCATCTGACTTGGAAACGCACATCTCATACCATGCATGGTTCTCCTTCAGCACTGCTCTGCCTCCGAAGGCTCTCAAAATTAGAATCTGACGAATCCTCCTCTTCACTCAATAATTTTGTAACCTTAGGCATCAAGTGTCCAAATTAAGTTATTTCTAGCAAAGGACTGCAAGACAAACACTCTTGACATCTAATTTTTCCTTTTCATAGTCTATTGGAGCTGGAAAGGTATTTAAAGCTCCATCTAATTAAAATTCTTAATTAAGTGAATTTCTTTTTTGCTAAATTTAGTTTTGTTTTATGTATTTTTATTATTGTATTCTGCTTTATTGATAAGTTAGGAAATAGATGAGAACAAATTGTCTATATTTGCAACACTTTAATTAATTACTTATTTGTAGTGTTTTTAATGTTTATTTATTTTTGAGAGAGACAGAGACAGAGTGTGAGTGGGGAAGGGGCAGAGAGAAAGGGAGACGCGGAATCTGAAGCAGGCTGTCAGCACAGAGCCCGACATATGGCTTGAACTCACGAACCATGTGATCATGACCTGAGCCAAAGTCAGATGCTTAACTGACTGAGCCACCCAGGCGCCCCACCAACACCTTAATTACTAACTATTCATATTTTATAGGACTTCTTATCAACTCCTTTCTTACAAACTCTTTAGTATAGTTATTATAATCATTGTAAATACGTTATTTTTGTATTTTGATTTTAACACATCATTATTAGTTTTCATTTGAAACACAGGCTTGATGAACTATAATTTACTTAGTCATTTCCTTATTGATGTATCTACTGATAGCCCAGTTTTTCACTTTTATAAACGTATTGCTGAGATCATGTGACCTTTTATAGTTGAGATTCTTTTCTTAGAATAGATTTCCAGAATATTTCTTACTGAATCAAAGACAAATACATTTCTTTTTTTTTTTTAATGTTTTATTTATTTTTGAGAGGGGGTGGAGGGGCAGAGAGAGAGGGAGACACTGAATCCGAAGCAGGCTCCAGGCTCTGAGCTGTCAGCACAGAGCCAGATGTGGGGCTTAAACTCACGAACTGCAAGATCATGACCTGAGCTGAAGTCAGACGCTCAACTGACTGAGCCACTCTGGCGCCCCAATTTATCCATGTTATACATTCCACTTACTTCCAGAAAGGATCCTGTCAGTTTGAATGCATGATACCCTGGTGTGTGCATGACTGCTTTTCCCATTCTAAGTGTAAAATGAAGAAAATAATACCTACTTTTCAGAGTTGTTGTCAATACCAAAGACAATCTATGTGGAGTACCTATGGGTGCAGTAAATGGGAGCTCTTGTTAATATAGAACAATTTCAGGGGCGCCTGGGTGGCTCATTCAGTTGAGTGTCCGACTTCAGCTCAGGTCATGATCTCATGGTTCATGGGTTTGAGCCCCATGTTGGGCTTTGGGCTGACAGTGTGGACCCTGCTTCAGATTCTGTCTCCCTCTCTCTCTGCCTATCAACAGCTCATGTTCTGTCTCTCTCAAAAATAAACATTAAAAAATTTTTTTAATTAAAAAATATAGAACAATATTAACAATTCAAAAATACATTTATGATTTAGTGTTACTTCAATCCTACATTAATATAATGTTGATTATGATAATATTGATATATGTTAACTGAGAACTTGGAAGAAAGGGGATTCCTGGCCAACCAGATTGAAGAATAAGTCCTGGAGATCAGTATGGTGACCAGATGGTTATTATCCATATAAGAAAATATGGAATAAAAAACCTGGCAGCACTTCTAAATTTTCCATCCTAGCTCTAAGGGGCCCTGCTGAACAGCTATGGCTTTAGCTTCTGGCTGTGGATGGGGGTAGGGAGAGTGGAGACGGCTGGGGGTGGGGAGAACACTTCTGGCTGTGCTTCTCTGCCTCCTGGGCTGTATGTGCTTTTTTTTTTTTTTTTTAAATGTTTAATGTTTTGTTTATTTCTGAGAGAGAGAGAGACAGCGTGAGCAGGGGAGGGTCACAGAGAGAGGGAGATACAGAATCCCAAACAGGCTCCAGGCTCTGAGCTGGCTATCAGCACAGAGCCCGACACGGGGCTTGAACCCACGAACTGCGAGATTATGACCTGAGCCGAAGCTGGACACTCAACTGACTGAGCCGCCCAGGTGCCCCTAAAAAAATTTTTTTTAATGTTTATTTTTTTGAGAGAGACAGACAGAACACGAGCAGGGGAGAGGCAGAGAGAGAGGGAGACACAGAATCTGAAGCAAGCTCCACACTCTGAGCTGTCAGCACAGAGCCCGATGTGGGGCCCAAACTCACAAGCTGTGAGATCATGACCCGATGCTTAAATGATTGAGCTACCCAGGCGCCCCTAGAGCCCATTCTCTTAATCACTAATAAACTATCTGAAACTAGGAAGATGGGGCTATGGGGGTCTCATTTGATTTCCAGCAGCCATCGTTCAGCTTGGAGCTCTGTGTCACTCTGGGCATGTCTACCCAAGGGGTGTTACAAAAGCACCTTCTAGTTGAGGGTTTGGGGGCTTGGGGCAACTCCAGGGGATCCTGGGCCCTGCCTACTTCCACCTTTGATGATAATTGACAAGGCGGAGAGCTTTTCTCCTTTCCGTAACTTCTCTAGTTCAGTTTCTGAGTAGCTGGTAACCTGTGGGAAAGTGGGTTGTATAGAGGGGGGGAAAAGGCCCTGATTGTCATCCTAACCTCACTGTGTCCTAGTGCTGTGTTGCCATTTGCAACCCTAAGGGATTAGAGGTGGGTATTTCATGCATCGTGATTGAAAAACAAAAACAAAACAAGCACAGCCCTGAAGCAGTGTGCTATTCATCACGAGAGAAGCAGAACCGGAAATTTGTTCTAAGCTTAAGTCCATCTTCAGTTTCTCAGCTTCCCTTTGACGGCCCCACCTCCTCCAAGTCCCATTTTGCCCTATTCCAAGACCTTCAGGGACCTGGCCTGAGGACTGCTACAAAAACCCTCCTCTTTAGAAAGGATTTGAAATCTTGGCGGAGAATTCAAGAGACATTATTGCTTCCTAGAGTGTTTTTTACATTTAAGCTTCAGCCCCAGTTGTGGCCTGAAAAGATTTGGCTCCTGCTAAAGGACTTTCAGGCAGTAGCAAGTAGGTGGGGAGAGTTTTATAGTAGCGAATCCTCTAGGGTGTCCTTGTGGTTAATGCACATGGTGATTTAGTAATAACAACGACAGCACTTTTATTGGGTGCTTTTTCTGCCCGGCATTTGCGGCAAGTGCTTCCCATGCGTTATCTCCTTGCATCTGGGAAGAAGCTTCCCCTTTTATAGATTAAGCACTGGAGGCCCACAGATATTAAACAATGTTTTCAGGGACACGGAGCTAGTGCATGAATGGAGCTAAGACTTGAATCCATTGTGGATGGAAGGGTAACTGTGGAAGGGCCAGCGCCAGGGCCTCGCCAAGCCTGGCTTGAGACACTAAATGCTAGCAGAAGCCAGTGTTCTGGCGTGCACCTGGTTAGTTCTAGGTGTGAGTTCTTGCTTCTCCAGACCCCTCCCCATGCCTTCGAAATCACACCCAGTGTCTCAGCCTCCCTGTCACCATGGCCCTCAGTCACGGCGTTTGTGGACAACCACGACGCCAGCCTCCATGTCGAGCACTTACCTCCTCCAGTCCTCACAATAATCCTGCAACGAGGCGGTTACTATACCCATTTTAAAGATGGAGAAACGGAGCCTCAGTCACAGGCTACTCAGAGAAGTTAAGCCACAGGTGTCCATGGAGGTAAGTGTCAGAGCTGCGCCCTGGGATTGCAGAGTGCCTGCTGCGCGGCCTGCACCTGCGCCCACCTCCTCCATGCCCCCCTTCCCACATCAAGCTCACCAGCCCTTTCCGGTGTCTCCCTGCGTCCGGCCTCCTAGTTCGGATGGAGATGGCAAGTTCCCCGGGCGCCTGGCTCGCCGGCTGCCTCGTGGCATTCGTCTTCCTCCGCCTGCCCGAGCGTGCGTCAGGTAGGAGCTGGTGAACCTCTTTCCGCGCCCGGGACGGCTGCGGAAGGAGCCCCAGGCACAAGGGCGCCTTATTTCTTCCCGCTTGGTTCTCCCCCGAGCCCCCCCCCCCCCCCCCCGGGCCCTTCCCAGGCCCCGCCCTTCCCCAGGACGGCCCCTTCTCCCCTGGCACAGCTCGTGCGCTCCCGTCCCTCCCAGACGCCCTTGTCCCTTTTTTGTCCGCACCGCACAGGGGACGCCGGCCACTCCCCCCTGGCCCCGCTAGGGGGCACAGCCGAGCTGCTCTGCCCGCTCGCCCTGTGGCCGGTCACCGTGCCCACCGCGGTGACGTGGCTGCGGTCCCCGCCCCCGGACGGCTCCCAGGCCGTGCACGTGTTCCGGGACGGGAAGGAGCGGGAGGAAGGCGTGATGCCGGAGTACAAGGGGCGCACGGCCATGCGGAGGGACGCCCGAGAGGGGAGCGTCAGCCTGGAGATCCGCCGGGTCCGGCTGGAGGACCGAGGGCAGTACCGGTGCCGCGTCCAGATCGGAAACCTGACTCGAGAGGGCACCGTGACCCTGCAGGTGGCAGGTTAGTCATTGTCAGAGGGGGACGGGGTGCCCCCAAGATCTGAGTCGTGGGATGCAGTGACCCTAGGGGCGGACTGGAGAAGGTATGAGGATGAAGCCGGACACCGTCTCACCCCATTGGGAGGAGGATGGGGGTGGGGAGAGGGCAGGCAGGCCAGTGCCACGAGCGCCCCTGCTGCCCCCCACCCCCCCACGCCGGAGGCTGTGGGAAGCGGGAGAGGCCCCCGCGGGGACCGCGCCCCCACTGCCAGGCGTCTCTGCTCCCCGGCCCCCTCCAGTTCTAGGCTCCGACCCTTACATCCACGTGAGGGGCTACGACGCGGGATGGATCCAGCTGGTGTGCAGGTCGGCGGGATGGTTCCCGAAGCCTTGGGCCGAGTGGAGAGACCCGCAGGGCAGGGTGCTTCTATCCCTGTCCGAGGCCCATGCCCTGGAGGCCGGGCTCTTCCGGACAGCCGTGTCCAGCAGGGTCAGGGACAGCGCGCTGGGGAATGTGTCCTGCACCTTCCGCAACGCGGCCCTTGGCCAGGAGAAGACGGCGGCCATGCTCATAGCAGGTAAAAGCTGGGGCAGTAAACGGGCTTCAAGCCCTTGGTGAAAACTCCTTACCTTGGAGGAAACCTTATAAAGAGTTTCAAATTTAAAAAAATTTTAAGAGTAACACGTTTGCAGTAGAAAACTTGAAAAAAAAATGAGGTACATTTTAAAGAAACCAAAAAATGGCCCATCATGCCATAAATTAGAGAGAACTGCTGCTAACATTTAAAAAATATTTATTTGGGGCGCCTGGGTGGCTTAGTCGGTTAAGCGTCCGACTTTCGCTTAGGTCATGATCTCGCTGTTCGTGGGTTCGAGCCCCGCGTCGGGCTCTGTGCTGGCTGCCAGCTCAGAGCCTGGAGCCTGTTTCAGTCTGTGACTCCCTCTCCCTCTGACCCTCCCCTGCTCACGCTATCTCTCTCTCTCTCTCCCCTAGAAATAAATAAAACATTAAAAAAATAGTCAAAATAATAATAATAAATATTTATTTATTTTGAGAGCGAGATAGCACAAGCAGGAGGAGGGGGAGAGGGAGAGGAGAGAGAGAAACCCAAGCGGACTCCGTGTCGTCAGTGCAGAGCCTGATGTGGGGCTTGATCCCAGCAACGATGACATCAGGACCTGAGTGTAGATCAAGAACCCAGTTCTTAAGGGACTGAGCCACCCCGGGGGCCCTGGGGCATTTCTTTCAAGACTTTCTTGTATGTGTGTGTCTCTGAGCATGCGTGTGTTTGCACGTACCTAGTCTTCTGCCTCGTGCTTCTTCCTTTCCACTTTTAATGCCATGAGCATTTCCTGCCCATGGCCTTAAGTAGTTCTCTGCAACATGATTTTTATGGGCTACCTAGTACCTCATTGTGTGGTTATAGCTTCATAAAATTAACCAAAGCCCTAATTCTGGACATCTGGATGGTTTCCAGTTTTTCCTCCTATTATAATGAATGGTGCAGTGAACATCCTTGCACATATTTTGGGAAGTGACTCGGATTATTTTCTTAGAATGTGTTTCTAGAAGTAGAATTGAGGGGCCAAAGGGGTAGAACTTTTTAAAGACCCTTGCAATAGGGAGGCCATGTGGCAGAGCAGAGTGGTTTTAGAGCCAAGAAAGATAGACTGTGGCCTGGGGTCCCAGGTAAGAAAGGGTCATGACCTCTGCCCACTCCCTTCTCTTACTACTGCCACTGCCCCTCACTGAGTGCTAAGTGCTTTACCTTCCTGATCCCTTTATTTAAACAAAAATTTTTAATGTTTATTTATTTTTGAGAGAGAGAGAGAGAGAGAGTGTGTGTGTGTGTGTGTGCGCGCGCACAAGCTGGGAAGGGGCAGAGAGAGAGAGGGAGACACAGAATCCGAAGCAGGCCCCAGGCTCTGAGCTGTCAGCACAGAGCCCGATGCAGGGCTCAAACTCACAGACCACAAGATCATGACTTGAGCTGAAGTTGGAGGCTTAACCTACTGAGCCACCCAGGTGCCCCTATTTATTTATTTTAAAAATAAATAAATAGCAGAGAGCAGGGGAGGGGCAGAGAAAGAGGGAGAGAGGTAATCCCAAGCAGGCTCTGCGCTGTCAGCACAGAGCTCAATGTGGGGCTCAAACTCAGGAACTATGAGATCATGACCTGAGCTGAAACCAAGAGTTGGATGCTTAACCAACTGAGCCACGCAGGCGCCCTATGACCCTTTTAAATCTCCCAACAACCCAATGGGACAAGGATTATTTATTATCTCTAATTTATAGATGGTAAGCCAGGCCTGGGGAGGCTCAGTCTCTCACGCAGGGTCACACAGTGTTGAGTGAGGTCTCGCATCCAGCTGAGGCTCTCCGCCACTGGTCACGGAGCCTCTTCTGCTCTTTTCTTCTTCTTTCCTTTCTCCTTTCTTCCCTCCTAGGCCTTAGGTCTGCTGCTGTAACACCCCAGAAATTGTTCTGCCCCTGCTTCTAGGGCTCAGGGTGAAGATGTCACTGACTGTTGTTTCACTTGATGGGGAGGCAGGTGGGTGCTCATGAGAAGACTGGAGATGGCCCCTGAGGAAGCGCCTCCTATCCTCCAAAGTCCCCAGATAATGGTTTCATAGAGGGCAGCACGAGGTTGTGGTTGAAGGGCTGAGTTTAACCCACTGTCTTCAGGCAGGAGCATCAACAGCACTCCTAAGAGACGAGCATCTTACTTTAAAGTCATCCCTGGGTTGTCCAGGGCTGGAGTTACTGAGAAAAGCAAAGACACTCGCCAGTCTAGGCTGGCGGTCTCTCCTGAGAGTTGATGGAGACGCGTGGGATGTGCCTGAGCCGCCTCCCATCTGAAGCGGGGCTCTTTGCATAGGAGGGGCTGTCTGAGGGCTCTCTGAGGGTGGTCATTGGCGATTTCTGTTTCAGCCCCGTCCCCGGGGAAGATCTCCTCCTCTGCGATGGCACTTGCTGTGACCCTGCCTTTCCTGGGGCTCCTCATCATGGTGGGCATTTTCCTCATTTGGAAGGAAAAAAGATCAAAAGGTAACTAAGTGGTAAGGGAGTCCTGGCTGGGACTGAGGCTTCTCTAGGAAATGGCTCGAGGAAGTGGGCATGGACGTGAGTTATCCCTAGGTTGCAGACCCTGCAAATTGGCTGAGAGAAAACTGGTAGAGCCATGCTGGGGGAACCACATTGCAGAGAAGGCCAGAGAAACTGCAGAAAACTCCCGGGCAGAGCTGTGAATTCTCATCTTCTGATAAGTTAGGAAAAGATTGGTCATACCATTCTCCTAATTAATTAAGAAATGCAGTTCTGTCCATTAGATAAAACCCCCATGAATGTGGTTGAGTTCCACAGGATCTCAGGGTTGCAAAGGATCCTGAAAGTCGCATAATCCAATGCTCCTTTCCCTGTCTGATGGTTTGAAGATCCTCTAAGCCTTTCAAATAGTTACACACCCACAGGGACAAGGAGCAAAGTCCTACTCAGGCAGCTTGCGTGGGCCATCTTTGGACAACCCAGGCTACTAGAAAAACTGCTTCCTTTAGCTGAGCTGACACATCTTTCTTTCTTCTAGAGAAGCTTCTCTATGAACAGGTGGTGGAGGTAGGTAAGTGTCCTGAGCTGGGTGGGGACGTTCCTGTGTTTGGCTGGTTTTGTGCTCCCAGTGATCACTGATTTACACTGTGCACCTGAAAATCCCAACATCTGATGTCCTGGTGGCAGGGGTGGTGGCGGCTCTATACCTGCCACTTCCAGTTTTTGCAGACTCCTACTTGTCATAGCTTGCCTTCCAGTGTGTGGTTTTTGTGTGTGAACTCATTGCTTGATCTTATTTTACTCTGTGGGAGTCTTGGAGGTCTAATGTGGGGGAAGCTTTTATTCGTTCAACAAGCAATTAGTAATTGTCTACTAAGCACCCCAGACTATACTAGATGCTGGGGACACAGTGGTGAGTAAGAGCAGACACAGTCTGTGCCTTCTTGGAGCGTTCAGTCCAGTTAGGGAAGCATATGTGAGTGAAATAATTATAAAAATAAATGTGCACAGGTGCCACGAGAGGAAGTTCTAAGGGCTACAAAGACTGTAACCAGGAGGAACTAACCAAGCTTCAGGGACAGGAGAGGAGTCCCCAGAGGAAGTGATGTTTGATCTGGAGGACAGGCAGGCTTGAGGGAAGAGGGAATAGAAAGCCATCTGCAGCAGAAGGAACGAGGTGGGAAAGAAACGCAGTGCAGAAATGATGCCAAAGGTAACAGCGGATGAGGCCAGGGAGTTAGCAGAGGTCATCCCAGGTGACACCTTGTAGATCATGTGAAGGGTTTTGGTCTTTCTTCTCAGAGCAGTGGTAGAGCAGTGAATGGGATAATCTTAACCAGCATTGTGCTTCCAGAAGCTCTCTCCAGCTGCGGTGTTGAGAAGGGACCAGAGGGAGGAATGGGACAGGATGTGGGGGCAATTTGGGGGGCCACCATTTCTATTACCCAGATGAGAGATGGTGAGGGCCTGGGTCAGGGAGGTGGAGGTGGAGCCAGGGAGGTTCAAGGGCAGGTGAACTCAATAGGCAGTGGGGACCTTCAAAGTAATGTCACAGAATCTCATTTACTTTTCTTCCTCTAGAAAATCTTCTCTCAGACCACGCAAAAGAAAAAGGTAATTATATGTATAGAAAAAAGAGTAGGGAACAAATAACAAAGAACATATTCTTTCTACTTGTACATGAATGCTGACAGTCTATGATGCATACTTTATACACACACACACACACACACACACACACACACACAATCTTCCATTAATATTATTGGAATTTACTTTCCAATATCAAGGGGCTATAGAGCTGTGGCCATGGTGAGGGGGTGCACTTGGTCAGAATTCATGGGTCTGGATTGGCCTGAGCTCCCTTCACCAGCCTTTCTGTCAATCACCAAAAAAGCAGGTGTCTTTACTATGTAAAAAGGTATTATTATGGTCATATGGGGTGTATGAAAATCACAAGAATCCATACAACTTCTGCACTGAGAGAGGCAGTATGATATGGCGGACGGGTCATGTGCTCTGGAGTCAGCGGCTAGTTCAGTGAGACCTGGCTCAGATCGCTGCTCTGCCATTCGCTGGCCTTAGACAAGGCACTTTACTGCTCTGAGCTTCAGTTTTCTCGTCTGTAAAATGGGAACGGTGAGTCCCCTCACCTGATTGTTTTCAGGACTAAAATAGAGAACTTAAAAAAAAAAAAAAGTTCTTATTACAAAGCCTGGTACTCCTTTTCTTCCTGCCATTTCGTCTTCATTAACTGAGTGCTCTGGGCCACTGAGGATAGCAGTTAGGCACTCAGGGTACAAACAAACAGAGGCTCTGCCCTTAAGGTCTCACTGGGAAGACAAGTCACTGGACTAGAAATGGCTCCATATGCACTGATTTCAGCATCTCCTCTCCTCCCCGCTTACATCTCCTCCAGGGCAGTGGAAGTGTGTGTGTGTGAACAACTCGGGAATGCTTTGGCCACTCTGTTCAAGGGTGGAAGGAACGGTGGTGTAGTGGGGCCACTACAATCTGACCTATGATTGGGAGTCAGACAGATGTGGGTTGGAATCCTGCCTCCTCAGCCATTTAGGCTGGTGACCTGGGCAAATTTCCTCATCCCTCTGAGCCTCAGACCACTACTCTATGCCATGGGGATACTAATTATAAACACCTCGCATTGTTGAGGGGATTCAGTGCCCACCTTGTTATAAGAACAAAACACAGTAAATGGAGACTATTAGTAGTGAGAATAGTAAAAATAAACCATACGCTCCTTGGGAGCCATATCGTATTCAGTTTCGCTGCTCAAGTGCCTAACGCCTAACACATGCCCAGCCTAAGGGCACAGGCCTGGCCGTGAACTCAAACATATAACCGTTCCCTGGCAAGGCCAGCGCTAGGAGAAAATGTGGGCTGGATGGCGCCTCCAGAAAAGCCACCAGTATAGTAGTCCCCGGGAGCTTCCCCAAACCTGGGATCTCCAAATTTATCAATCTCTCTGCAGTTCTTCAGGGAAGTTACCTTGGAGAATGATAGAGCCATTACCATGGAGAATGACAGAACCACGCCAACAAGCCAATGCTGGGGCTCCCATTTGTCACCATAGCTATTATACACAGTAGGTTATAGAAAGGGAGCAAGGGACACACTTGTGTACCCACGTGGTTATAAGCATACAGAAACACTCATACAGAAAGAGAAAAGGAGCCAGACCAAAAGGGAGGGAAGAGAAAAGAGAAACCAAAGGTCTGGGCAGCCTGGGGTCATTGGGAAAGTGGCGCCACTCAGGTTCTCCCGTCAGAGCTTTGAGAGATGTGACTGGACTAGGGGCTGACAAGAAGGTCATCACCCCCTCCACTGTAGGGTATGGAGCGATGAGCATTCGTGCATCCTGGGAATAAAATGGCCATATCTATTCACTTGTGCCTTTTTCTGTTTGTTTGTTTTGTTCGTTTTTTTAGGAAGGCTCCATAAAGTGCTCAGTAAGTTCCGTTCCTCACCTGTGGCACAGACCTCCTTCTGCTGACATCTTTGCTTTAGGATGAGTGTCTCAGTTTCACTCGGGGCAGAAGAGGAGGGCAAGGGTACTTGAGGCCATGCGGGCTAGGGATATACTGGCTCCCACAGTTCTCTTTTTTCTCAACTATTCCCTGTTCCCCTTTCCCACATCACTGTTATCCAGTCTCTATGCGGGAAGCATTTCACCAGGAAGAGCTGTACCTCCCGTAGGGGAAGCCGCCTGGAAGGCCCCCTTTATCACCTACGGGTGACATTCCTTTAGGGGGGGATCCAAAGCCTGTGCATCCTCATTACAGTGATTATGTGGAGTGGTGTTTCTCCACCACTTCGCGTATGAGAACCTCTTTATAACAAAAAAAGTCTTCAGACACGTGACGTGTCTATTTTATTTTACACTGAGAAAACATACAGAAGAAAATCTAGTGGAAATTCAAGGATAGTTTTAAGTGAATTATATTTTATGCTTCTCCTATAACATCTACAAATGTTTATGTTGTCGTGACCTATATGTAGAAGATGTGCTATTACTCGGTCGGCTGGGAAGTTCTGGGGGCCGCAGGAATTTGTTGACCCTCTAGGGTGTCTCTGGGGCTCGCTGGCCCACGGCGGGGAGACCCTGCTCTTGCCAGCCCCGTCGTCGCGGGGAAGCTGGGCATTGCTCCCCAGGATCTCATATGGGGATGTGGTTGGGAGGGGATTGCAGCATTCTGGGCATGTAGACGCCCTTGTTCTGATTGGTCCAACTGTTTTTATTCTTTAGAGCAGCTCCGGAGTGAACTGAGTAAGTGTCCCATGTTCTTATAACTCCCGTATCGCCTTATCTCCTGTGGATTCTGTGTTTCCAGAGATAGCTCACCCCCTTGTTTCTTCTTTTATCAGAGCTGAAAAGAGCTGCAGCGAACTCAGGTAGGTACACTTTCCCTCCACTTGACCCCCAAGCCCCAAGAGTTCTCCATTTTTCTGTCCTTAAACTCAAGCAACCCCTTTACATCTTCCAGGCTGGAGGAGGGCCCGGCTGCACTTTGGTAAGTCGCACCAGCCAAGTCATCCACATTTCAGAGCCCATTGCTCTGGTCCTGTGGAATTCAGGCTGTCCCTTAAGACTGTAAAATCGAATCTGTTTTTCTGCTGATCGATTTTGAAAAATCTTTGTGATTTTGCAGTTCACGTTTAGATTTAGAAAGTCTCCCCTCTTTTAGAATACTGATAAATATCTGTTTTGATCTTCTTATGAGTTCTCTATGATTTTTGAGATTTATCTTAGGTTTGTTGGTTATTCGTATTTCATCTTTGTGACTTGTCTGCTCCTGTCCTATTCTGGTTCCTTTTTTTTTTTTTAATGCTTATTTATTTTGAGAGAGAGAGACAGAGTGTAAGCAGGGGAGGGGCAGAAAGAGAGGGAGACACAGAATCTGAAGCAGGCTCCAGGCTCCTCACTGTCAGCACAGAGCCCAATGTGGGGCTCAAACTCATGAACCATGAGATCGTGACCTGAGCCGAAGTCACGCTTAAATGACTGAGTCACCCAGATGCCCCTGCTCTGGCTACTTTTTGATTTGTGAGGATATTCTTTCTATATAAAGTATAATCGTTCTTTGTCGTATTTTTCACAAATTATTTTTCTGACTTTTTCATTTCATTTTACTTTCCTCCTAGAATTTTTTTTTTCTTATGTAGGAGCATTTTATTTTTTATGTAGTCAGACTTATTCATCTTGTCCTGTATCATCCCTTCCATGCTTTCAAGTATGGGATGTCCTTCCTGTCCCACAGCTGGACCAACAGCCAGCCCTCCTGTCTCCTTCCACACCCACATCCTTCTTTCTTGAAGATCAGTTTTCTTGGTGGGGGGTGACTGAGATTCTCAGAGAAGGGAATGGGTGAGGCAGAAGATCCAACAATGCAGACTATAGAAAGGTTTCTTTCCTTCTAAAAGATTTGCACATCTCTTTTCATTTTATTCTGAAATAGTTTGCAGGGTTTTTGCTGCTGTTTTAATGAGACCCGTTATTTTCACTGCTTTATAGTCCTTATCAATTTGCCAGCTGCTCATCCCCCTTCTGTTCACGCATATTCTGCAGGCAGGTCCAATAGAATCGTGAGTTGGCATAAGAGAAGACCAGGTCACTTTGGTTGGCACTCCAGGAGCTCACAAACCCTCTGACATTTGAGGTCTGGCTTACTCCCACCACCTTGACTGAGTACAGATTTCATGGACTTACTCTCCAAGAAGAGCCTGTTTCCTGTACTTGGTGAAGGAGGGAGGCTCACTATGACCCTCATAGTCCACAATTTTAAGGAAGAATCCTTCTCTCTGTATTAACATTTAGCAATGGTAATTATAAGCAATAATTTTATTTGAATTTTTAAATGTTTATTTATTTTTGAGAGACAGAGAGAGACAGATCATGAGCAGGGGAGGGGAAGAGAGAGGGAGGCACAGAACTGAAGCAGGCTCTAGGCTCTCAGCTGTCAGCACAGAGCCTGATGTGGGGCTCGAACCCATGAACTGTGAGATCATGACCTGAGCCAAAGTCAGACGCTTAACCTGCTGAGCCACCCAGGTGCCCCATTTTAGCTACCAAAATGAGCATCACACACTCACTGCGTGAACTCGGCACTATCTCATGCATTAGTTCCTCAAATCTGTACAACAGCCCTACTCCCATTTTACGGAGGAAGGACCTAAAGTCGGGAGATAAATAACAAGCCCAAGGTCACATAACCAGCAAGTGACAGAGCTGGGGCATCTTAGCTGGCTACTGGATCTAACATCAAAGCCCATGTTTATTATCATGCATTAGATTCTTTTGGACCATCGAAGACAAAGGCAGTATTTCCTAAGGATTAAGGCAGCTTCACAGACAGATGAAATACTTTTTCCTCTTTCACTTAACACACTGCCAACAGATTTAGGGGACGGGAAGACAGTTTTCTTTGGTTCCAGTACTTGTAGAGGAGGGGGAACCATGAACTCAAATAGACGAAGGACAGTGGTCACAGCCTGGGGATTATCTTTCCCTCCAAAGCTACCCAAAGATCCCCTGAGACCTTGTCTTCCCCAGCCTCACCTGTCAGTGACTCTCTGCAGTGGCAGTGACCCTGGACCCGGACACAGCACATCCCAAACTCATGCTGTCTGAGGACCGGAGACGTGTGAAACTTGGAGACAGAAGGCAGCCTGTGCCAGACGGCCCCCAGAGATTTGACTTTGTCGTCAGCGTCCTGGGCGCTGAGTACTTCACATCGGGCTGTCACTACTGGGAGGTGTACGTGGGAGATAAGACCAAGTGGGCCCTGGGGGTGTGTAGTGAGTCTGTGAGCAGGAAGGGCAAGGTCACTGCCACACCTGCCAATGGGCACTGGCTTGTAAGACAGAGTAGTGAGAAGAAGTATGAAGCTCTCACGTCGCCACAGACCATCCTGCGCCTGAAAGAGCCCCCGCAGTGTGTGGGGATTTTCCTAGACTATGAAGCCGGAGTCATTTCCTTCTACAATGTGACCAGCACATCCCACATCTTTACTTTTACCCACACTTTCTCTGGCCCCCTTCGCCCTTTCTTTGAGCCTTGCCTTCATGATGGAGGGAAAAATACAGCGCCTCTAATCATCTGCTCGGAACTCCAGAAATCAGAGCCATCAACTGTCCCCAAGCCAGAAGAAAAAAGCCAGGCTAATGGAGACGTGGCCATGAAGGTGGATCCTTCCTTACTCCCCCCACAGGCACCGGAGCTTTTCCCACTCAGGGATATGATCCTGCCCTGGCCCTCTGACATTGGCCCTGCCCTTCAGGGGCTCAAGGTTCCTTCTTTTTAGGGCTGTGCCTCAGTACCTGCTTCCCTCCAGGTCCAGCACCATGCCCTGCATTTTAGGCTGGTGGCACAACACCTGATTCTGAAATATTTCATCAGCTTTCCCCAAGTCTAGACCTTGTGATTTCTATTCAAACCACCTTCATCCCAGGTCTCAGTTCTATACTCTGTCATTCTTCTGGGGACTTAAAGTTCCCACTGCCCTGGAAGAATTCTTGAAAACCAAATGAACAGTCACATTAAGTTTAGGTGGTGATGGTGAATGTGTGTCACCAACAGACAGGGGTTCTTTACTCGAGGGGTTATTTATAGAGGAACTTTACTCTGCCTCACCCTGCTCTTGACCTCTTAGTCATGAAGTTATGGTGCCCAGTCCCTCACTTCTCTCTTATCCCTGCCAGAATGGCTTTTCTCCTTTTCTCAGGGCAGGCCTCTAGCTCCCAAAGTCATCTTTTTGAAGGTAAATATCTTTTCGGTCACACATTCTTCCCTCTTTCTTCTAGAATAGGGGGTGCGTCAGCTAGAGGGGTAAAACAGGCCATCCTTTTCTATTTCCTTGATGCTTTTTTTACAACATAGCATCCTGATATCCAGAGCTAATGTACATGTTTTCAAAGCTAACTTGCCTATTGATGATAACCAGGCACAAGAATTTTAAATGTGGTAGCCGTAATCCCAAAAGCCTCAAGGGCACAATCATGAAGCTGGGACACACAGCTTTGAACACAGCAGCCCAGCTATGTGTGACCTTGAAAATATAGCCATGGATGTATCTGTCTGTTACCCTGGCCCTTCTGAATCTCCTCCTGGGATTTAGAGAGGCCCAGCCAGAAAAGTGGCGGTTTTAACCACCGATGTAGAGCCATTTTTTCCTATAAGACAATCATTCTGGAAGACTTGACTACTTGTATGGCAAACAGCCTCTTAGGTCAGAGAGTATTGGTTTCATATAGGAAGTCAGTAGACCATGTGTGAGGATAAAAGAATAAGCCTCATTTTTTTGGTGTGGATTGCAGATAGAAGCCTACTCACTTTCAAGTCACTCCACACAGGTGATCTGGCCTCTGTGGAGATACTGGCTCTCAGTTTTAAGATGAGCACACAATCCTACCCAACAGAAACTAGATCTTTCTGTCAGAAGTTCTCTCTGTTGGTGCTTATAATAGGGTCTTCCAGAGAAAAATATATTTGTTATATTTACATGTATAAAGAGATTTATTATAAGGAATTGTCTCACATGATTACGAGGCTGGCACCTCCTAAGATCCATCTACAGGGTTAGTCAGCAAGTCGGAGACCCAGGGGAGCCAATGGTGTAGTTTCAGTTTGAAGGCTGACAGGCTTGAGACCTAGGAAGAATGAATATTTCTGTCTGAGTCTGAAGGTAGGAAAAAAGTGGATGTTCCATGCTGAAGACTGTCAGGCAGGAAGAATTCTCTCGTACTAGGGAGAGGGTCAGCCTTTTGGTTCTATTTAGGCCTTCAACTGCTTGGATGGGGCCCACCCACATTAGGGAGAGCAATGTGCTTCACTCATTCTTCCAATTTAAATGTTAATCTCATCTGAAAACACCCTTACAGAAACAGTCAGAATAATGTTTGACCAAATATATGGGCACCTTGTATCCTGGTCAAGTTGATATATACAGTTAACTATCACAGTGCATGGGTGATATGTTTTGTTTGCTTTTGTACATGAATGAGAAGTTGTGGGGAAAAGCTTCGGACTGGTAACAGAAGAGCACGTCATGGGATTGGTTTTTGAACAACATTGAATTCACCCAAGCAAGCTCTAACCACAGTTAGAAATAAAGCCACAATTTTATTTCTCATCTGCTTTCTCAGTATTTTTATATCAACTTATAAGCAATAAGTATATGTGGGGGATTTATATTTCACTCATTCATATTCAATTTCAAACATACTTCCCTGAATATCCTAATCTAATTCTCATTGTTCACACTGGCTGCACCCAAGAGAATTTACCAGCAGGAAAGAGAACTGACATTGTGGAAACAGAAGTTTTAACTCATTTAATCCTTAAAACAATTCTGTCATGGATTTTGTCATGGGTTTTATGGGGCTGGAAAAGGGTGCTCCACATGCCTAGGTGGTAGAACTGGGATTATAAATCTAGATTATCTAGCTCTGAAGACAATACTCTTTATTTACTCTTTGCACAGAAATACTGTGCAGATAGTGAGAATATTGGACTAGGCTTTTTTTTTTTAAGTAAAACTTGAAAAAAAAAAAAGCCTAATCCTGGATGTACTTTAGAAGCTGTATTGTATGGCAGGTTTACCTATGTAGGACCCAGGAAAAAAATCCCTGCGAAGGAGCATTGGGAGGCCCAGAGGCAGCTCCTTGCACAGGAAACGTTTAGCTTCTCTGACAAACGGATTTGGTTAGTGGGTCTTTAAACTCCCTTCTAGCTCTACAAACCTTTGATTTTAAATTATAAACCTCGAGTGAAGTGCAGAATTCAAGTTTTCACAGGATGTGTATCGGTCCGTCAAGGGTCTCCAATTCAAAGTAGAGAAGAAACTGTGTTCATGATCCCTTGGATGTCCTGTTCTATTACTTCCCAGACCGGTGGCTTTTAACGCGTGAGTGTAGAAGGGAATCCAACGACCTTGGAAGGGAACACAGACTCCACTCACTCTGTTCTAAACTTCGCAAATTTCTTCTCCGAGTCTACGCTCTTCTTTAGGACTACAACTCCCAGCAGGCTTTGCGCGAGTCCAAAGCTTATTGGCGAGCTCTCCTGGGTTTCTTGCCTTGCGGCAGCCAGTACAACCAATAGAAATAAAGGATCCTCCTCAGAAACCAATCCTGGAGAGGTAGGGCGGGTCCTCTCTGGGTTCCGGCTCCGGCTCCTCCCCCGGCCCACAGAGGCGGCGCTGTCCCTGACCGAGCGGCGGGAGCGAGGTGGGTCCAGGGTGGGCCCGAGGTCGCGGGGGAGGCGGTTACGGCTTTGCGGGGAACTCTGAGCATGGCCCCTTCCCTCTCTCCCGGGAGTTAGAGGTTGTGGCTTTGCTCCCTGGACCCACTGGGGAGCAAATGGGACCCGGTGGTCCCCCCGCCCCGACCCCTGGCCCCCGCCCCTGGCCCGCGCGGCCAGGAGGATGGCCTCAGCCCATACCTTCAGGGCCTCCTGTTGGCCTTTCAGTCCAGCCCCACTGGGACTGACCATACTTTTGGGGCCAGCCCGACCCTGTCTTCCACGCCCCCCGCCCAAGCCAGCCAGCTACTCAGAAGCCAGCTCCTGTCCTCTGGGACGCGCGTATCCTTACTCAGCTGTCTCCTCCCCGCTACTCAACAACCCAGCCTCCTGGCCCCCGGCCCCCTGACACCTCTGATTGCACCCTGTGGCTCCTCTCCCCAGATCATCTCCTCGGACCCCCGAGCCCCTATGGCCTTCTCTATCTGACCCGTTATGCAGCTCCCCGGTACAGTTCCCTGTTGTTCAACACCTTATCCCTGGTCTTTTCAAGCTCCTCTCTCCCCTTTACCCCCCCCCCCCCTCTTGATTTGATCCTAAAGACCCCGAACTTTGGCCCTTCAGACCACTTTCCAGCTTAGCCCCTTCCCTCTATCCCAGGCCCTTGACCTTGAGCATCTGTGATTACCAGCCCCATCGCTTGGCTCTTATTTCTTAGCCCTGGCGGCTTCTCCACTGCCCCCAGCCTCTCCCACGTACGGTCCTCCCTGTACTTCTGGGCCCCCTAGGAAGCCAAGACTGATGGACCGTTCTCTCCCCCAAATCTTTGAAATGTGACATGAAAGTGTATCTGTACTTTACATGTCACTGTGTTCTTAGTAGATAGTGGTCTCCCCATCTCTCTGTAAGTCCCAGTCTTGCTCACCTGTCCTGCAAGTCCTAGTTCGGATGCCTCCTTTTCCATGCAGCTGCTCATCCCTGATCTCTTCAGGGAGCTGCGGCCGTGTCATCTGAACTCCCGAAGTGCCATGGCACTGTTCTCACTCCTTCCTCTTCCCCTTCCCTTCCCACCCTCCCACTCCCCACCCCCGCTTCTCTCCAATATTTCTGTCAGGCTTAAAAGCACTGGCTTTGGAGTGATGGGCATAGGTCCCAGTTCTGCCATTCACTTGCTGTGTGCTGTAGGGCTAGTTACAGTTTCTCTGCACCTCAGTTTCCTCATCTCTAAGATAAGTTACGTAAATGAAATGCCATGATTTGTACATAGTGTTCAGCCCAGGGCCTAGCATTAGTATCAGCTTAAAAAATGTTAACTACTATTTTTGGTTCCTGTATAATGTGCCAGGTGCTGTGCGAGGCATTGAGGAGCAGTACAAAGGTGACTGAGGCACAGTTCCTGTCCCCCTAGAACTTAACCTTCTATACCATATGACAGTTTCTGGAGTTCATGTCCTATTTCCCTGCCCTATGCTGTAAACTGAGGGTAGGAACCATAATCCTAAATCTTTTTGCTCTTCTTTTGATCTGAGCCTGGTATATTATAAGTGCTAAGAATAGCAGAATTGGAAGTGAGAGGGGGCCATGTCACCTCCTGCGTAGACAGAGGTGCTAGAGCCTTAGGTAGGGTGGGCAGGGCTGGGGGATTGAATTGAGGTCACATCCACTCACTCATACATTCAAAAAACATTTGAGCACTATCTCGTGCTGAAGAGAGATTGCCAAAATGACCTAGTCCCTGCTCTCCATTTACTTATAAACTGCTAGTGAAGACAGATATGTTAAAAGATAATTGCAAATCACTGTAAAAAGCAGCTACATACAAGACTTTGTGGTTGCATAAAGGTGGAAGTGGGCAGGAACCAGAGATTGCTGAGGAACAGAGGGTGAGACAGACACAAGTAAGCATGAAATGGGTTCTGGAGACAGGCCTGGCCTTTACCCAATTCATTCAACAAATATTTATCAAGGGCCTACTAGATATGACTGTCACTACTTTAGGAACAAAGACCCTGACTTCTGTTTTAGCAGGCGGAGGCAGACACTAAATCACAGACATAATAAATAGGTAGAATGTTCGCAGGTGAGA